CAGGTAAGACTAGAGTTAAGTGATTTCTTGAGACTGGAAGGCCACGTTGGAGCAATGTGGACACAGGAGGGTCAATGTCAGCCCAGCCTTCTCTCTCCTGCTGAATTCATGTGCATACCAGGAGAACACGTACTGCCTTTATTCCAGCTTGGAGTCTGAGCATCATATTGACTATAGCTAAAGAGTATAATGGTTGGCTCTACTTGTGCCATTGGTTGTGTCTTCTCTTGACCCTGTCGTTGTCCTAATTTCTCTTCTTAACTTTCTAAGAAACCTGAGGTTGACTCTAAATGATATTTTAGTGTCTTTTATCTCTGTACTTCACCATTTCATAGTCTTGTCTTTAAATGAGGCGACTCATCAGGTGATGAATGGCACTTGGCACAGTCCTTCAATACACATGTGATAAAGTAAAAAATTGTCCAGCTGTCACTTTATTAGGAGGAAACTAAGAATTCAGACAAAAATCACACCTTTCCAAAATGGGCTGTACTATGACTGGCAAAACTGATATACTGTATACTGAAGTATCATGTCCAACAGAGACTATCCAAGCTCAAGGTCTTTTAATACCACATGGTTCAGACTGATATGTTTCAAGATAAAATACCAGATAAGGATAACTAACTAACAGTAATTGTTCTCAGGTGCTCTGAAGATAATGACCATTTTAGGAGTAGGATATGTTTATATTGAGATATGATTGTTTTAGTAATTCTCTGGTTTACAAACTCTGACCAATCTCAGCCAGTACTGTCCCATGTTTAATTCTAGCCTTCAATCTCTATAATACTTAATTCATCCTTTTCAAGATTTCCTATAGTTTCTTATGGTGGCTGTCTTCTTTGTTGCAGGAGGTAATAAATAAATTTATCTTTGTTGGCTACAAATATGTTCCTGCTCATTTTTATCTAATGGACACTGAAACAGGTTTCCAACTTCCATGCTCCTCCTGAAGTCCCCTACACCCTCTGAGAACATTTTTTCTTGACCCGTTTTTAATCATAAAAATGTCTTAAATATCCTTAGCTCTATTTAATCCAAAAATAATAACATCTAATGATTCTTATTATGTTACAGGTAACATGTAAACTATTAGCATGGGGAGGAAATTATAATGCCCTCCAAATTGAGAAGGTACTTTGGGACCAAGGTATACAGAGAATACAAAGATATTTATTAGTGGGGGTGACTTACATACAGGAAAGTT